TAATTTTAAATGTTTCTAATTGATTATTTAAAAAATTCTCTGTTTCCGAACCATAACGATAAATTTGCAATAATATACTTATTGTGTTGTCGCTGAAAATTTAAATTTTGATGGCCAATTATTATTTGGAATATTTCAATACAAAATATGAAATAGGCGTTTTAATTGTAGAATTGTAGAACGTTTTAATTCGTAGGCAGGAGAATTATTTTTTTTGTTTAAAAAATCTACACAAAAATTGTAACACTTCGTTAAGCTAAAGTTACAGATGGTTTAAGTACGACTTAAAAGTCTGCGTATTTACTTGGTGTCATAAGATTTTTGTGCAAACTATAATAATAATAGTGGTCTTTTTTTTTATACCACTGAGGTGGCAAACAAGCATACGGCCCACTTGATGGTAAGCGGTTACCGTAGTCTATGAACGCCTGCAATACCAGAGGTATTACGTGTGCGTTGCCGACCCTGAAAAAACCTCTTTACCCCCTTTTTGAAGAACCTCATGCTGTAGTCTATTGGGAAAACCTCGGCAGGGAGCTCATTCCATAACCTGAGTGTTCGTGGGAGGAAACATCTCTGAAACCGCGTTGTACGCGACCATTTTGGCTGTAAGGTATGAAGGTGAGCTCCCTGTCGATGGCGAGCCGTACGATAGTAGAAAGTGGCTGTGGGCATCATATTGAATAATTCCTCTGAGCACAATCCGTTGTACAAGCGGTAGAACACGCAGAGTGAGGCAAAATCTCTCCTAAGACTTAAGGGTTCAATACCGCTTGCAAGCATGGGATCATCGACAATTCTCATAGCTCGTCGTTGCACTGAGTCGAAGGGTATTCTGTGTATACATGAGATATTTTGACAGGGAGTTCACTCTCAAAGCCAAATAAATAAATCTATTATTATTATTCATGTATACGTATTATTTCTCAGCTTATAGCCGATTTTGTAGACACATTTTTTCTTTTTTATACAACTTAGAATGGCAAACAAGCTGGCGGCCCACCTGATGGAAAGTGATAACCGACGCCTATAGACATGAGTAGTACCATGGACATAACAGCGTATATTGTTTCGCCCATGATACCCCCCATGCGTTGCCATTCCTGAGGATTCAGGTGTTATTCCTCTGTACCCAGTAAATTCACGCCATATCCCACTCTTCAAACCGAAACACAGCCATGCAAACACAACTGCTTCACGGTTGAAACACGAATGGGCAGAGGTACCCAAGCAATCGACTTTTGTACAAAGTCTCCCTCTGGTAAGTCTGACAAGGACTTGTTCTCATATTTTTTAAAGTACTTTGGTAAGTATTATTATTTATAATATTTAATAAATATATAATATGATATGTGGGGTACTATGTAACACTAACTTTACATATATGTATATGATATATATTCTTTAGCAATATAAAGGTTGTAAGCCTTTTAGCAATAAATAGAAATAGAGCACAAGTTCACTTAGTTTATTTCATCTAGATATCATACTATTAAATCATATATTTACTTATTTTACTTTGTATATGAGATATAACAAATAATATAACATAAATACCCAACTTCTGTTAGTCCATTGACACTTATTTAAATACAGCTTCTTTAGGACTTATATTAGCAATAATTGTGATATATTTTATATAATGACCACGTGGTTCACTATACTTGTTCACTCTTGATACGGCAGGGAGCTCTGCTCTGTTCAACAGTTGAACAAGAAATGTCTCCCCACCCAAATAACAATCTTTTATATCTACAGGGCCGAATTCGAATGAACAAGTCAGCGAGACCACGTGTTCTTACAATTTCATTACTTTTTATTCAAATATCATGACAATAAATAATTATAAAATTAATTAAAATATAAATTAGTGTTCTATATACCTTACAAGAATAATTTATTACCAAATTTGGTATAATACCAATTTTAACGTTTTATTATATTTAAAGTAGTTAGTCTGATTTTATTAATAAATGTAGGTACACATTTTGACACAAAATGTTTAAGAAAATTAATATAATTTAAAATAAATATCTAACGCGCGCGTAATGCCCCTGGTATTGCAGACGTTCATAGGTTACGGTAACTGCTTATCATCAGGTGGGCTGTAAGTGTGTTTGCCATTTCAGTGGTATAAAAAAATATTGATTTCGTGTATAGCGAATGGCTGAGAAACCTTAAAAAACAATACCGTAATAATAGTCATCTAAAAAACTGATGTTTTTGTAAATAATTGCTGAAGAAGCTTGAAATAAATAAAATGAAATATGTTTTTAGATTTGAAGTCTGTTTGCTATCATAACGAGGAATTGTTGAATAATATGTATTTAAAAAAGTAACAGCAGTGTTTCTTTGCCCATTCTTCTCGGCTGAAACTGCATTCCTTATTGGGAGGTAGTTATAAAAATAACTGTTTAAAAATGTTTATAGTTAAATTTACTTGAATAAAAAAATATGTTATTATTTGAACGAAATTTATTTACTTGGGATTAATTAAAATCGGTGAAACAAAACAGAATATTGTTTCAAGCCTTTGTTGTATGAGAGGCAGTTTTGTTTATAAAAAAAAAATATCCTTTACAATTTGGGTACACATAGGTAGTTAAAAATAAAAAGACAATTTTTAATGTATTGCTTTACTTTTTTATAACTTGTTTCTAAGAGATACAGGCACTTGATTTTATTTGAATAATATACTATTATGGAATTTTTATATAGGACCTACTTAGAGTACAAACACACTATATTACTTATATATATTACATTTCATTATAGGACTAACAAATAATTACATTATTAAAAAAAACATTAACAATTTTCGAATGTTCTATAACAGTATTTCAGTTATGCTAAGCACTAATTACTTCAAGATTTGGCTGTATGCGTAGTTGTCCTTAAGCATCAAAAAAGTATTTTTTTTAAATCGATTTTAAAGTGAAGTGATGACTATCGGACTAAACATTTTTAGATATTCAAGACTAGGCAGCATGGTCTCCGACCTTAGCCTGTTCGACAACGGAACAAACATATAAAAAAAAAAAAACACTTTTATTCATTATTAAAATCTGTTTAACATATTTAGAAATTACATTTTTAAACCAAATTTACATACTGTAATATGATAGAAAAAAGGGGCATTGTTTAATATGATATATAAATATCGGTAATATTTTTGGCGGGAACATAGCTTTTTTTTCTTTTGTTAATTTTTTAGCATAGATAATGAACGTAATGTAATCCGTTAGGTATCCTGTTTTGGTTTTGTTAACATTTTGCTCGAGCTTTCAAGAAATTAATTAGGTATAGATTGACTACTTTAACGTGGCACGCATCTCCAAATTTTTACTTTAATACAGAAGTGGTGCTCTGTTTATGTTTGTGAGAAGACGTCATCAGTAGCGATGCTAATGTCCATAAGAGCATTGGTCAAAACTTTGAAAATATTTTTACTTAGACAATTTTAACTCTTTAGATTTTGGAAGGACGTACCTTTTTAATCGTAGACAATCTGTTGATATTTATGAAGTGTCATGAAGTGTTTTGATTCTTTTTTTATATTTTTATATTCTTTTTTTATCACTTACGCAAAGAACTTTAGTTTTTCAGCCCCTCTGATTAGAGATTAATTTCAACGCAGTTAATAAAACTTTATATGCGTCAAATCAAATAACTACTTTATTGTAAACGATTTTATTATTAGAATAATCGAAGGAATATACAACAAATAATTAACACTAACTATATCACATGTACAAACAGAACTCCCTTTACTAAAACAGCAAAATGGCTACCGGACTTAACAAATGTTTAGATAGCAATAGGCAATAAAATGATATGTATGAGTTTATATAAATAAATTATGGAATTCAAGAGCGTCTATTAAGTTTTAACATCGTCATCCATCTTTTAAGGGCTCGAAGCGGATTTCTCCAACAAACGCTTGTAACGTCGCAGTCGAATTTAACCGACAAATCCTGTATTTGTATATTTGTTCTTGCATTTATTGTACTACAGTCTCTTTCAAACACTACTTAATCGTCTTTGTACATTTGATTACCTCTGTCACATTCTTATAAATAACTGGTGTGTACAATTAAATAAAATAAATAAATAAATGAAATTAATAAAAAATCTAAAACGTTCAATCAATTATTAGATTTTTTATTTCTACTACTGTTGGGACATGTGTCAACTGTCTTAGAGTTGATTTAATAATGTCTCTTTACATTTACATTATATTGTTAACTACTTCAAAACTACTTTAACATAGTACATAATAAAAAAAATTACAATAATTAAAAATTACTCGCCATAGTCAGAAGGCCGGCAGGGCGAGTTTAGTGCAAAAAAAAGAGACAAAACAGATCAATAACTAAAATAGGTTTATGAAAAATTTTATGTTTTTATGAATAAACAGACAATGTGTGGATCGCCGCATCATCTGCTACGTAATTGTATTCCAAATTTTATATTTTCAGTTTAAAATACCGATTGCCAAAACTATCACTTCGCTTCTCTCTGCCTACCCTGTAAAGAACTTAGTGATTCAATATAACGAATAACTTCAAAGTCACGCTACACACATACAACTTCATTTATTTATCATACAAGAAATCAATGGAATGGAAGAGAGGCAAAATACAGATACAATATTATAAAACTAATTCATTCCTATTACAATTAAATTAAAATTCAGAGATTCAATAATACAAGAAATCTATTAATTAAAAAATAATATCCACAAAGTATTTCATTGACAATTTACATTAATAAAAAATTGTTTGTATTAAAGCATGAGATATCTAAACTAAACATAGTTTTTTTTTTTTAATATTATGAACTGGTCGACAACCTCGTAACAATATCCCCATCCTTAAAAAATTGCTATTCATTTATAAATGACCAAATAAACAATAAATATCAAATCTTAAGCAAAGAGAGAAAGAAAAGAAAATGGATACAAATAAATGCAGTTTACAATGATATGTAGTATCATCAGCCATTATCAGCATTAACTCGGTCATTATCAGCATTAACTCGGCCATTATCAGCATTAACTCAGCCATTATCTGTCCACTACTAAACATACATATCTCTCTTATAGATTGCCATATAGATATATGTAGTGTGTGTATATATATACACAAAATTGCTTTAATAAACAATTAGAACATTCCGATGCTTGAAAAGGTTCTTTAAACTTACAACGAATGGAAAACCAAATCATTTGACAAATGTCCTTTTTATTATAAATGTGAGTACCTTTGCTTGTTTATTGGTGCACATTAAATAATGTTTAAAAAATTAGACATATGTAATAAAGAGTTGAAGTGTTCTTTATACAACTTAGAATGGCAAACAAGCTGATGGTCCACCTGATGGAAAGTGGTAACCGTCGCCTATACACATGAGCAGTACCATGGACATAACAGAGTATACTGTTTCGCCCCTGATACCCCCCATGCGTTGTCGTTCCTGAGGACTCAGGTGTTATTCCTCTGTACCCTGTAAATTCACTACCATATCGCACCCTTTAAACCGAAATACAGGGATGCAAACACAACTGCATCACGGTAAAAACACGAATATCCATTTATTTGTTTAAAAACATTAATCTCTAGAACTAACAGTCGGATTTTATAAATTCTATTTGCATTTGATAGCTTATTTGTAGAGGAAGATTATAGGCAACATCACAATACGACCAAGAGTGAAGCCACAGAGTAAAACTAGTATGTAATATTTGGTGAAGGACATAACGACGGTTTACCAACAATAAATACCAACGTATACAAAATAGTTGTATAAATCTTTTCCAACCTTACATATCTCCTTTTCTATGTTACATAGAGAAATAATTTTTACATCAAAATTATTGTGAATTGATATGAAGACCTAAGATTACTCTTTACTTTAACATATTTAGTTACCTTAGTAGTAGTAAAATTTTGTATTTATTAATTAAAAAATATTAACGATTAACACTGGACACAGGTTACTTTATAACGTTTGCTATGTTGTCATGAATGTAGTTAGCTGTATAAAAAAGTATTTGCGGTGGTCATAAGTCATGATAGAATATTTGTCTGGAAAATCTAACTCCATTATTGTACAGTTTACTTTATTCCATAAAAAGAAATTAGAAAAAAATTGAATTTTCTAATTCCAAAATGTCAATATTGTCAACTCAAAAAGGTCATCAGTTTATATATCACTAAAAAGTCCATTTAAATTCCTGACTAACATTCTGATAGTGAAAAACAATCATTAACATAAAATTTTTCCAAGAGGACATTATATGGCAAGAAAAAACCATAAACCCCCTGTCTCAACGTATTCGAATAAGCTCCGATTATCTGACTACCCCATTAAGGATTACAGTCGTAAACATACACATTTTTTATTTAAACTGAACATAGTTTATACTTAAAGCATTACATTTTCAAACAACCGTAAAAAGAAGTTTAAATCAACTGTATTGTTTTTGTATTTGTTCTACATATAAAATATTGGCCAATAGGGAACCAATACTAATGATTCTTTTTTAATCGAAAGAGTCCATTCCCGTGTTGTAAAAAAACTGGACTATTACTGCATATATTTTCAAAAATCGATTGAAAGATACAGAGTGATACACAAAAAATACATTTGAATCGAGACTTCATTTTGACAGTCAGTTTAAAAAAAAATATTACCATAATGTAGACATAGCCAATAAATTACACTTCAACACGTCTTTTTATGTAATCAAGTCTCTTAATTTACTTTTTAATAACTTCACTTTTTTATTCACAGCACTTCTATAGTTTTTACTTTCGGAATTCTTGTGAGAGTCACTTTTGCTTCTGTTGCGGACGCGTTCCTCGAATAGTTGGTAAAAGTTGGGCAGTGGGGCGTCGACGAAGCCCTCGTCGACGGTGGTCGATGACGCGGAGGACGCGCGGCGGCGGTGACACGTCGCCATGTTCTGTATGAAATGGTTAAACATGGCCGTCTCCGTGAACCACTCGAGGAAGTACTGGTTTTGTTTCGACGTCGCGCTCTTTGTGAACGCCTCTTTCTGGAATAAAAAAAATATATATATAAATTACTTACAATTATTTTATTATATTAGCCGTTAATTGACCACTGCTTGAACACAGACCTTCCCCACAAGGGCAGTTTTGCCAGTAGTTACCACGCTTGGTAGGCGGTATAGTAACCACACTCAGGTCTTTGGTGATGTTTTAAGAGAGACGCTGCTGCCCATTCCTTGACCATAAGTTCTCTTAGTCACCTCTTATGACACCCACGGGAAAAGAATGCCATGCCGTTTTGAATCGAGATCTACACGACTTTAATTTACATACATACTTCAGAAACATGAGTTAGATAGAGACACCCAAGCAGACTTCTTTTGTATAAACTTTTCTTCTACTTCCATTATGAGCGATAAATTATCAGTAACTCACGTCGAACACAACTCCCCCCTTCCCCAGGGCGCCGTCTTTCACCTCTCCCTCGGCGAAGAACCGCCAGAAGTCGCCGAGGATGTCCACAAAGAACCGGAGAAACGCTTCCGATATCATCACGTTACGGGTTTTCGAGTCCTCCGAGCGATCCTTGTATTTCAAAGACTCCATCTGAAAATAAATATTAATATTATGAATTAGTTTTTCAGGTGGTCCTTGTGATTGTGAATGTGAGAAAGACTATTTTCCGCGCTTAGCCTCTCATTTGGGCCGTTGTGCGTATGAGTCGTGGCTAGTACAGCCAACCTAGCTCCGCCCAGAAGCACAGAAGCTTCCTGGGTTCTTTACAGGCCTCACGGAGCGACCTCACCGTTTCGAGGATTTCTAAACATTGATGGGCCACAGCCTCACATTCCAGGATTACGTGAGCAGCCGTTTCTTTGACGTCGAAACAGCCTCGACATAGAGGGCTGTCTGTGGCTCCTATTGTGTAGAAACCCCTTCCTTTCCCGTGGATGTCGTAACAGGCGACTAAGGGAATAGTCGAGGGATGGGCAAGAGCGTCATTCATAAAACATCACCAAAACCTGCTATTTCCAACTTGCCTGACGAACGTAGCAACTAAAACATGGCAAAACCCTCTTATGGGGGACGCTATGTCCAACAGTGAAGTTATTATTTGCACGATTAATATTAGCTAAATATTATAATTTTTTATTATTATTATTTCAGCCGTTAAATGTCCACTGTTGAACATAAACTTTCCCCATTAAGGGGAGTTTTGCCCGTTATTTTTTTAGAGGTATTTTAAGAGGGACGCTGCTGCCCATCCCTCGCCCTACTTAGTCGCCTCTTACGACACCCACGGTAAAGGAAGGGGTAGCCTATTCTATGCCTAGACTGATACACGACAAATTAGCTGAATATGGAACTGTTTAATTATTCAATAAGAACTTTGTTATTACCTATTAAAAGCAAACCAAGTATTCTAATCTATTCTACAATTAGATAGACGTAAGTACTGAGAGAGATCTGGATGGCCTCTCATGATCAGACACGCTGTGTGCTCACCTGCAGAGCCGTCTTCAATGTCTTGTAACTGGCGGTGGGCAGTATGGTGGACTCGTCGCCCTGACAGTGAAGCACTTTGGACGGGTGCCTCAGGTCTATCAGCATACCCTGCAATAGTTATAATTTATAGTGAACATGCTCACGTATTTAATCCTAGCTAGAATAGTTTCTGGCCATTTTTTGATTTAACATGACAGAGCCAAGGGAAAAGGGTCATTAAGGGTAACAAACAATATCCCACAAAACAAACAAGAGCCCACGTGATCGAAACTGGTAACCTAGTTTTGTTTGACGCAATCAGAAATAAATATAAACCTTTGTACTAATATTTATATTATTATGTTATTGTTGACATCGACAATTTTTGTCAGGTGAGGGGAAAGGATTGTTGGTAATTCAGGTTACCAGTTCCATTGCTAGCAATATACCCTGTCAGGTCGACCTTCACGCGATTCCCCCTTGAAACCTTAAGTTTTTTATGGTTGTGATCTGTTTTATGTGCCAATAAAATAAAATAAACCATCGTGCTGAATTCCAAATGCATTCATCACGATGGGCTAACTGACCTGCTTTTTCATTATTCATCTATCATCCCTCTCTGGTGCCCCGCCAGTGTATGCCTATTGGTCTTGTTAAAAAATTGTGTCAGGTCCCTACTACCCTTCCCCCTAGTACAAATTAATCAATCGAGAGAATCGTTATCACTGGCGAGTCCATCAGATAGAATAAGACGACAACGTGTGCTTACTCTTTCTCATGTGAGCGCCTTCCAGCGATTCTATTGATAGATTCGTTTGTACCTATATTTCCGTGTCTATGTATCTAAAGCTTACTTGCTCCTTTTGCAGATATTTCTAATTTTTTTTTTAATTTATAACACAGGGAGGAAACGAGCATGCGGCTCACCTGTTGGTAAGTGACTACTTATATTTCCATACAAGTTTTTTCATTTAAATTTATGCACAAACCCCACTAGCTATTCTGTCATTGGTACCTCACACCCACGCGAAGGTATGATTCCATTGTAATCCATTAAGCCATACCTCATGTATGGTGGTGTCTGTCGGTTTGCAGGTGAGCATCCCAGCAAGGATCGGTAAGGGGGCTTCGAGCACGTCCCGCTGTATGGCGGACGGGATGCACGAGATGAGCGGCTGCTGCCACACCAGCGGGTACAGCGACCACTGCAGCGCCTCCATGCATGACGACAGCACGCTGCCGATACAGTGTGGTAACATCGTAACAATATGTAAACTAAATAACATAAAGTACCTCCACATGATTTTATATTAGATTATGATATTAATATTAGACTGGGTGAAAGTATTTTTTTATACAATTTAGAATTGCAAACAAGCTGACGGCCCTCCTGATTGAAAGTGGTAAACGTCGCCTATAGACATGAGCAGTACTATGGACATAACAGAGTATACTGTTTCGCCCATGATACCCCCCATGCGTTGCCATTCCTGAGGACTCAGGTGTTATTCCTCTGTACCCTGTAAATTCACTGCCATATCCTACCTTTGAAACCGAACCGAAACACAGCCATGCAAACAAAATTGTTTCACGGTAGAAACACGAATGGAACAGAGGTGCCCAAGCAAACGACTTTTTTACAAAGTCTCCCTCTGGTGAAAGTGGCACACATAATTATCTTTGAGAACGCGTTAATGCCATTAAAATGTACTCTACTTATTTTTAGATCTCTCATAAGTAGGGAGGGTTAGGACAATTTGTTTTGCATTTAACAAATAATTTTATAATGTTTCAGTAGAAATAATTTGTTTATTTCAAATAATACAAAACCGAATATGAATAACGTTTGAGATCATACATAGTTAACTGTATATATATAAAGAGATTTCAACAAAAAACTGATGATATAATGTATATAAATATATAATATTATATACGATATGTATGTATTTTGATTTCAATTGTATAAGTTACTTATATATGAAGGGTCCACTTTTTAAAATAATGATGAATGTAAAAATGTTTAAATTGTATTGTATGACATTTGCCATTATATTACTTGACAATGTATGTATTAAATCTTCTTTGAACTTAGCAGTATCTGTTTGCTGCTACCACTAGATAAATATGTTTTTAATATTTTGATTACACGGCTAGAATATACGTCACAGGTATTCACTAAATTATAATGATAAATGTCCATCTAGATCGAAATGTGTAGATCTATTATATTTGACCATTATTATCAAATCTGGCAAATAAATAAATTATTATTATTATTATAGAAATAATTTGTTTATTTCAAATAATTTGTGCATCTTGCATTCTGCAAGGTCGTATATATATAAAGAGAGTTAAATACTGATGATTTGTATATATGATTGATTATATACGAAATGTATTATTTTGAATACAATTGAAAGAAAACTTATATATGGAAGAATTTATTATGTTTTAATAGAAACATCTATAATGACTCTATTAGGGCATGAAAATGGTGTAATGATAAAAGTGTAATCGTTTTAAATGTTTTAAAATGATAAATGAAGTAGCAGAGAGCAAGAATATTAAGACAATTTAATAGTTTTGCGAACATTTTACGATCAAGATAATTATCTATGTTCCTGGGCTTATAATCGTATCTAATATCCTATCTGGTATAATAAACCGTTAATAAATGCTGATTAAACAAAATCTAAAGTCATCGTAACTTAAAAAATTCGTATGATCTGTTGATGATGTTACATTTACCGGTGTGTAGGCAAAAAAGCTTTTATATCCTTATATGGTATCATGGAAGAAGACTTCAATAAATCTTAAAAGAAATCACCAAAACTTTTTGGCGTTGTCCAAAAAGATAGAACAAAGGCAATTATGTTAAAAAAGCTATGGTGATCTAAACAAACTATTGATTATAAGCTTTCAATGATTTTTTCGACAAAAATTTTCAACACTCTGATAGAAATAATAACGCAAGAAAGGCACATTATAATTTACTATCGAGAGTCTTTAAAAAATATATCTGTCGGATGATTCAAACTTGTTCTAAAATTCACAATATTTTTTATTAAATGCAAAAACAATCTTACATTTTTAATAAACTTAAAGATGGTTATATGCCTAAAATTTGGAAAATGGCTTTTTCAGTTCATAAAATTTCAAATATCATTCGGTTATAGAGAAGGGTGGATACATGTTCGACTTGTTTGATGAAAAACTGAGAAAAAACAGTTCATCATCAATTAAGATTGCTCCTCTTCTCAACAATGGGAAAGAAAAATCACTAATTTTGTTCATGACGTCATGCGAGATATTGATAATAGAAAATTTAGTCACACAAAAAGATTTTGAAGTCTTTTATGATAAAAAAAGCTTGGAAAAGCTCGTTTGACAGCTAGGCAAGATGTTACAACAGTAGCGATTGCAATGGATTTTTCAAAAAATCTTTCTGTACCGAATATAACTACAAACGATGTATATTATAAAAGGCAGTTTTTGAGTTATTTTATGTTTAATATTCATAATAGTCTTGATTGTAAATTCTTCATCTTATTTTTTCGCTTACGATGAGACAAACAAAAAATCTCAATCAGAATGTAGCCTCTCATCTGTTTCATTTCATAAAACAAAATGGAGTTAAATAAGTCTTCTTATTAATTTTCTAATAAAAAAACTCGTGTGGTGGTCAAAATAAAAATTATACCATCTTTACTGCTACACTACATATTCATTCGATTTCTTATAAGGCGATACAAAAATTAGTCACAGTTATATTTCAGGTGTCAGACCATTTTCGGAGTGTGATTGTAAAAAACTCTTTATCTATCAAAAGGCGTTTTAGAGTATTGAACAGCTGATAATATGGAACCCAAACTATATAATTTATAAGCAGACAGAAAACATTCAGAAAAATTCTTAAAACATCTAAATTATAAAACAAGAAGCATTTAGTGGACTGATTATCATGAAATGTTTACAAAAAAACTTGTCCTTTTCCTCATAGACCGGTGCGTGAATCTCGAGTCCAGAAGGATATCATGTTTCTTGAGAGATATTTCAATAATAGTCCATGGGATCTTGTGTGTAACGTGTTGCGTCTCCGTCTAAAATCCACCAGAAATCCTTCTTTTGCAGTTATGAAGGCAGTTAATGACCAAATTCAAATTAATGGTTTGTCGTCTTATAATAACAAACTTTTTCAACAGCAAAATATAACGACCTGCAGTTCCTAAAAAAGTTCTGTAGGCCTGAATGGATGACGTTAATATCGATGAACTTCCTCATGTTGCATATAAGTACAGGCACGTATATAAAACAGTCATTTTACTATTTATTTATATCATACTATTATACATTATATTTATATTTTAAAGACTTACTTTTGATTAACATTATTTTTAATTAGTTTATAATATTTTGAATTATTAATTTTCCAAATAAATAATGCTTTGATACATGTTATTTAATTTTTATATATCAAAATTTAATTATCTTTATGTTTGAGTTTTTTATATATGGGTTTAAAAATTTAAAACTCAATTATATAAAACAAAAGACAAAGGACATTCATCATTATTGCCTACCCTTCATATGAATCAAAATTTTTGTTTTTATAGAAACATCGTTATAATGTTTAAGAGACTTAGCTAGTTATTTTTTAAGACACTGATTTTGGTATAAAATAAAAAAAAATCTCTTATATATATATATATATATATATATATATATATATATATATATATATATATATATATATATATATATATATATATATATATATATATATATATATATATATATATATATATAAAGAGATTAAAAAAAACTGATGATTTAAAAGTGCTTGTAAACAAGTCTTTTTGAAGTATAAAGATTATTTAAATTTAAATAAAATACAATATTTGTGTTTATATAATAAAAAAATTAAATGTTTTTTTCTATTATAGTGATATAGTGTCAATTCGTATTGTTATTTGTAGTTATAAAGTATTTGTTATAGTGCTGATGCTCTCCTGGGCGAGCGTACTGTAATGCTCACCCAAAAGAACAAATAAATTAAAAAAAATAGAATTTTTGCGCGTGTGGAAATAACTATAGTATTCTACACTACACGGAGAAACTCACCTGAGCTGATCACTGATGACGATGACCTTCCGCTCGAGCAGCAAAGAGCCGAAGACTTTAATCACCAGGCCGGCACCCAGCGAGTCGAGCAGAACCGACAAATTGTCTTCGTCAGCTCGCGGCTCGATGGGACGTTTTAAGATTTTTGGTCTGTAATGAATTTTTTTTTTACAACACAGGGGGCACACGAGCATGCGGCTCACCTGATGGTGAGTGACTACCGCCGCCCATGGTCACCCACAACACTATTATATATTTTTATAGGCTGGAAATCGAACATATGGTACGCTAAACAGTATACTCTGTTATGTCCACGGTACTGCTCATGTCTATAGGCGACGGTTACCACTTTCCATCAGGCGGGCCGTCAGCTTGTATGCCATTCTAAGTTGCATAAAAAATATGCTATATACTATGATATCTCTATCTTTGTATATAACACTTGAAAACTACAGTTTTAACACTTCTTAGGTCATAAATAGCAATGGCATATCTTTTATTTAAAACTCCAAAAAAACATTTTTTTTTTATTTAGCCTTTAAAAATTGAATTTATGTCAGTGAAAATAATGTATATATATTATAATTCAGAAGTCTCGTGTAAAAGGGGTCAGGACCGCGAGAGCGACGGCTCTAATATTGCAAGTGTTCATGGGCTGTGGTAGAAATTTAACATATTTTTTTTATACAACTTAGAATGGCAAACAAACTGACGGTCCACCTGATAGAAAGTGGTAACCGTCGCCTATAGACGTGAGCAGTACCATGGACAGTATACTGTTTCGCTCATGATACCCCCCATGCGTTGCCATCCCTAAGGATATATATATATATATATATATATATATATATATATATATATATATATATATATATATATATATATATATATATATATATGTTTATATATTTAATTTATGACTCACACATACCTTGGCGTGTAGCGTCCACTCTTCACGTCATTGTTGTTCTCTAAGTCCAAAAACCTTGGTAACTCATCGCCCAAGCTTTCAGACTTGTCGGCGAACCCTTCCAAGTACTGCTCGTCCGGCTTCCCGCCGCTCCGTCGCAGGTCGGGCATGGTTTTGCACTTCATGGTGTCCAGCTCTATGGAGCGTCGGCTGGTGTTCGAGTACGTAATGGTGATCTCCTCGCCCGGATCGGGGAAGTCCGTGTCGATGAGCTGCTGGAGTATCGACTGGATCTCCGTCTCGGAGCTGCCGTGGTGAGATTCTATTTCTTGTAACACCTATGGAATTCGTTCGTATTTATTTTTTTTAATTATAACTTTATTTGACCAATTTTCACCAGAGGGAGACTTTGTACAAAAGTCGATTGCTTGGGTACCTCTGTCCCATTCGTGTTTCTACCGTGTAGCAGCTGTGTTTGCATGGCTGTGTTTCGGTTTGAAAGGTGGGATATGGCGTGAATTTACAGGGTACAGAGAAACAACACCTGAGACCTCAGGTATGGCAACGCATGGGGGGTATCATGGGTGTAACAGTACACTCTGTTATGTCCATGGTACCGCTCATGTCTATAGGCGACGGTTACCACTTTCCATCAGGTGGGCAGTCAGCTTGTTTGCCATTCTAAGTTGTATAAAAAAAATTGAATAAAAATGCGGGTATACAATTTACTAAACAGTGATCACTACACTAGGCTCGCAAGCCTGCATCGTAGTAATCGGTGAGTGGCTAATTTAATCCATATTTACTGCCATTTACAGTCCGGTTCTTGTACAATTTTATCATTTATTTACATATATCATTAAAATTATATATTTATTTCAAAGCTAATACTTTATTGCGGGGGAAAGGGATTGTTAGCAATGGAGTTTGACAGCCCCATTGCTAGCAATATGCCCTATTAGGTCGACCTCCACGTGGTTCCCCCTGGAAACCATCGTGAACAATTCTTGTTGAATTCGTCACGATGAGCTAACTGACCTGCTTCATCCTCGCCTATCATCCTTCACTGGTGGCCCGCCGGTGTATACTGATAGCGCGGGTGGGGTTACCATTCCATTATCATCCATTAAAAAAAATACTTTATTGCAATAATATGTAATAATACCGATATTCTAAATACTTTTTATTTATTTATTTTTTGAAAAACGTACAGCTGAATTACAGTCAATTTATGAGTATTTATACATACATGGATGACTGCTATTCTATCACGAAAAAAGTACTAAATCGAATTGAATAAAATTTGGTACATACGATAGTTTTATCCTAACTTATATCTATAGGCGACGGTTATCACTTTCCATCAAGTAGGTCGTCAGTCTCTTTATACACTGATGCATGCGGGCAAAGCCGCAAGAAACAGTTAGTACTAAATAATTAATTGTTATCACCAGTCGATAAAAACATACCAAAACTTTTCAATAAATGTTTAGTAAAAAAAGTATTATTTTATGAATGGAAAGAGTATAAATACGAAATGACATTAGCGAAAAAAAATGTGCTAATTTAATATATACCTTATAATAAAACCCGGGCGCCCTATATTTCCCAATGATACAGTAACAGAGCGGTAGACATGTCGTAGCGCCCTCTGGTAGCACGCGCCGACAATAACTGAAATAGAAATAATTTTAATATATCAAACAAACCTTTTTTAATGACCATTTAAGTGACCGTAGATTAATCATCACCAGCGACATTAGCAATTCATTTGCATTAATTGCTTTAGGAGCATTTGAATAGTCATAACACACACGCACGCACGCACGCACGCACGCACGCACGCACGCACGCACGCACGCACGCACGCACGCACACACACACACACACACACACACACATACACACACACACACACACACACACACACACACACACACACACACTCACACACATATATATATATATATATCCTTAAAGACTACAGTCTGGGGTATTTCAAAAAGATATATTATTTATTTATTTATTCATTAGTACATGGCGGACTTAATGCTAAAAGCATTCTCTCCCAGTCAACAATAGGGAAGTGTCAGAATACTCGAATGCGGCACTACTAATTATTGATATACATATATACTAAAATTACATATATAAACGAATAACAAATATAATTACACATATATGATATATACTATATTATACACGAATTTGGGAATAATATAAAGCACTTACTGCTCGGATAAAGATAAAAAGTGAGCGTGAACGCTTTAAGGATATTAAGGATATTAATTGAAATTTAAGCATATTAAGGATTCTTCAATCTCTAGCGTTACAGGCATTTATGTTTGCCATATAAAAAGAAATACAGTTTAGTTCCTACTACAAAAGTCTACGTAGGTTATATTGAATAGATGTGTTGTACACTTATTTACAATTTACGTATATAAAAATCTCGATTTCACCATTATCAAAATTCCAATTTCTCCAACTGACAAAGTTCTTCAATATGGAGAATAACACTCACCTATGGGAGAAAGGGAATTTTAGTAAACGGAACTAGCAACCCTATTACTAACAATTATCCTATCAGGTCGACCTACTCGCGGTTCCCCCTGGAGACTATTGTAATTAATGCATGTTTCATTCGCCACGATGGGCTAACTGACCTGCTTCACCTTCACTTATCATCCCCCACTGGTGCCTTGCCAGTGTATACCGATAGCGAAGGCGGGGCACCAGTTCATCATCCATTAAAGCAAAGCACTCACCCGTAGCTCCTCTCGCCCCGCTCGTCGGTGAGCACTAGCGAGTAGCACTGTGCACTCGCGTCAGCCGACCACTCTCCATTGCTAGTCCAGCTTAACGTTTCCGGGAATATGAGATTCTCAATGTGGGGTGGCACGTGAACCTGGAGAAGATCGGATTCAATTGCTAAATAGTTTGGGGTCTGCTATAGAATTTTATTGTATATTTATAGTATTGTATCAAAGAAAATGTGATTTCTTAAGTATTAATTTAAAATCACTAAGAGAATGTAGTAACTAATTGTTTAATACAAAATGCCAAGCGTGGCTACTGGCAAAACTACAAGTTAAAAGCTGATATGAACGATGATTATTTTCCTGGTAAAATATTCTTAACATTAACTTGTGTTGTCTATTTTTTTTTTATCCGTGGCTTTATCCAGGTTACAAATACATATGTATCTGATTTCTGATACTAAATTGAAATAATTTAATATCAGAATTCAGGCCCCAGACTAAAATATCCAGACCTGCTTTAAACTAAATATCGATCTGTTCAATAGTCTTCGAGTTAAAATCGTATATAGGCAGTTAAGATCAGGCTATATGTAAAGATTAGTAAATTTGTATATATAAGAAGTTATTTGTACCAGAGGGAGACTTTGTACAAAAGTCGATTGCTTGAGTACCTCTGTCCCATTCGTGTTTCAACCGTGAAGCAGTAGTGTTTGCATGGCTGTGTTTCGGTTTGAAGGGTGGGATATGGCGTGGATTTACTGGGTACAGAGGAATAACACCTGAGTCCTCAGGAATGGCAACGCATGGGGGGTATCATGAGCGAAACTGTATACTCTGTTATGTGCATGCTACTGCTCATGTCTATAGACGACGGTTACCGCTTTCCACCAGGTGGGCCGTCAGCTTGTTTGCCATTCTATGTTGTATAAAAATTAAAAAAATGTATATAAATTACCTGACTAGGAAATACGCTCTTCACATAAGCTTCGCCGCTCATGTAGTTCAAGCCCACCAGTAAAGAAATATTAAACAATCCCTTGTCTCTGGTTTCGAAGGGCAAGTCGATATCTACACAGCCAGTCTTCTCGTCTATGCTCACGTTGTCTATGCTACTATCACTAAAGTCCATTGACAGTGCATTGCCACTGGCATCGGTCAAATTATTTTTAGAGTCCGACTCGTTCATTTTGTCTTTCGCCAAGTTATTCTGGGACGTGCGGAAACTTTTCCAAGAGCGGAATGTAGAGTATGGATTGTCTATGACCTCTGATTTGTAGGAGCAGATCGAGGTCTGGTGCCTAAATCTTTGGACTTTTACGTTTTTCTGGTCCAAGTATGCGACCCTGGAGGACACCCGACGTACGTAGTTTTTACGTTTTTCAGTCAAACTTCTTGTTATTTTCACTGAATCTGAAAGATATATAATCATTATATGAATAAGTAATACTAAATTTATAATTGATATATATTAATATTATGTAGGATATTAGAATAGGATAGGAGGGATGGGCAGCAGCGTCCCTTTTAAAACATCACCAAAAGCCAAACTTCGGCTGACAACCAGCCTGCCAAGGGTGGCAACTACTGGCAAACTGCTCTTTATGGAGAAGGCTATTTTCAGCAGTGGAAAATTAACGGCGGATACAACAATATAATTTAGAAGTTTGCTGTAACTTAAATTTTGACAGGAACAACACGGGTTCTCTAGTTAATTTCGCGAAGAGCAAGTGATCAGGAGAATAAATGACACTTGAGAAACGGCAAATCTTACCAGTTGGAGACATTGTACAAATCATCTGCATGATTACATGAGTCTCTCGCATGATTCTACAACTAATCAGTTTGTGCTTACATGATTTTGTTTCGATTTAAGCGATGAGCTATGGCAACAAAATGACAGGGCACGATGACTTAATACCTTAGTTCCTGGAGGGAAGGAATTGTTAGTAATGGGGTCTTACAGCCCCATTGCTAGCAATATACCCTCTATCAAGTCGCCCTCCACGCAATTTCCCCTGTTAACTTGTTAGTTAATTCTTCTGGAATTCGTCTCGATGGGCTAATTGGTCTACTTTCACCCATCTCAGGAGAGGTTACTATTCTATTCTCACCAATTAAAAAAGACCTAAGCCCGGAATACCATGGATATATAACGTTTAATATACTGTTCATATTTATAGGCCATTTTATAATGAATAATGTGGACCATTAGCTAATTTGTCATTCCAAGTCATATAGAAACATCACATTTATTTGGGAAACTATTAAACGAACGCGACTATGACCCACCTTCGCTTGTGCTCCCGTCAGATTCGGTGGGAAAGCTGCCCGGTTTATGATCGTCCATGTTGCACACGGCCGTCACTGTGTCGTAGATCTCGTTCATCAGACGGTTCAACTGTGGACAACAATTGACAGACGTTAATATACAGGCGACTAAGGAATCTTAATGCTTGAGGGATGGGCAAGAGGCGTCGTAAGAGGCGACTAAGGAAGGGCGAGGGATGGACAGCAGTGCCCATTTTAAAACATTTCCTAAGCCTAATTGCTGTTGCCAAACCGCCTGCCATACTTAGCAATTAATGTCAAAACCCCTCAAAAGGACGAGGCTTATATTTAACAGCCGTCAAGTATCTAAACTTGATGGCTGATATGATGGATGATGAATATAAAGAAACCTCACGTTACGATGTTCGTTCACGTTAATCTCCGATTGTGCTCGACCAAATTTTAATGAAATTTTGTAAATATATAATAAATGTATTGTTTGCTTCAACTTGAGAGTTAGGTAATGATAGAGGGAAAACAATGTCCGCTAGTATAATATGCGATTACATTATAATTTTCATATAAACCACCATTATAACCACACGCTATTGATTTTAACATTAATATACATATAAGTATTTATAATTATTTTCCTTGATCTACTGAAATATTACAAGTATTTTTGACTTTGTTATTTGCATACCTACTTATTCAAGAATTAAATCCTATAAGATTGTCTTAGAAAAACTGTCGTATTTTTTGTATCCATTGCTTATGTTATTTTATTTCAACGTAATACAAATAATAGTGTTTCATTTAATATATAAAATTAATATTTACATTGTTTACGCACAACCGCACTTTGGAATCAACTTCCAGCCGCAGTATTTCCGAACCGATACGACATCATAACCTTCAAGAAAAGAGCATATTCCTTTTTAAAAGGACAGCAGGACAGCTGCAATGCATTTGATGTTGTAGGTAATCGTAGGCGGCAATGGTCACTTACCATCAGGTGAGCCGCATGCTTGTTTGCCCCCTGTTATAAAAAAATACACTAACAAATACTCTTCTAATATTACGAATGCAAGAGTTTGTGGAAATTTTTACACGTTTGTTACTTTATCGCGCTTAAATGTTAAAATTAAAGGTACGAAAGCGACGTGTTATGGACGAATTGTCAACCCTAAAGGATAGATCCACACTTACTTTTAAAAAAGTAAATCGATCGATACAAATGAATGATAAAATACCTCTTTGGCATCAAATGGAAAGTTATTGTAAATTAACAGCGTGTGACCATATGTGGTCCAAGGAGATAACCTTTAAATACAAACAAAAACAAACATGCACTATCGATAATCCTAAAGGTCATGCGTTTAATAGAATTAAAGTATCATTACATGCAAAACAGAGGCAAGAAGAAAACACTGCAATTGTTTGGTGATAATCTAAGAATATTTTGATCTAGAATTTAATAGAATTTTAATTTATAAATAATAATAAATTTATGATAATTATTTCTTATCAATTTAACAGATAAGAATATAAAAGCTCAGTTGAGCATTGGCTAAATTGTTTTAATCCACAGATGAGTGTAAAAGTACTGTCACCAAACATCTCTGTTTGCCTCGTAATTGACTGGTAAATAACTCCTTCAGGTGTTATGGCTAACATGTGGGTTGTTGATGGGTGAAAATGGTATGGTGACCCCGCCTGCGCTAACGGGATACGCTGGCGGAGCACCAGTGAAGGGTGATATATGAGAATGAAAACAGGCTAGTTAGCCCATCATGATGAATTTATCAGGAACTAACCATGATAGTTTCCAAGGGGAACCGCGAGGAGGTCGACCTGGTTGGGTTTATTGCTAGCAATGGGATTCTCAGTTTTCATTACTAGCAATCCCTTTCACCTACAAGTATATGCTATTGTGGTCTTCATACCTACCTGCACACTCCTTATATTATATAAAAAAAAAACAAACATCTTTCTTTTAAGCACAGGCTTAACGATTACATTCTGACCTTTAGTTATATTAAATATCACACCCCAAAAATTGTTCTTATAATCTTTCTATTTATTTTTAATTATGTACAAACCTCTTAAACTTTTCAAATCCATTTTGCATTAAATACACAATACCTGGACCGAACAAGTACTAGTTTCTAGTCCGCGTCTCTTGCTTTCAGTCCGTAGCCAATTTGAGCAAAATTCTTATTAACAACGCGAGACCACTTAGTGCGAAGCGAACGCAGTAACAAATGATCTATTTTGTATACTATATAACATTCAATATATTGTCTTGATAAGTGACTTATGAGTTACGCGCGAAATAGTTTATTCAAAAAAGAACAAACCGAGAAATTTTACATAATTTTATTTCAAATGAGATATTTAAAGATGCTTGCAAAATGTTTTTATTTTGTCTAGCATTAGGTAAAGAATAATACAAACAATATAATTAGAGTAATCGGTAAAATTTACTGTGTAGGTCCCAGCATAGAATGGGCCATTTATTCCTTTCCCTTGAGTGTCGTATTAAGCGACTAAGAGAGCTTATAGTGAAGGGATGGGTAGCAGTGTCCCTTTAAAAACTTTACCGAAAACCAAATTGCAGTTGTTAACCCGCCCGCCAAGAGTGGCTACTACTGGTAAAACCCTACTTATGATTTTGGGGGGAAAACGACTGTTAGTGATGGAGACTGAGAATTTCATTGCTAGCAGTATACCCAACCAGGTCGACCTCCTCGCGGTTCTCCCTGGAAACTATCATGGTTGATTCCTGTTGAATTCATCATGATGGGCTAACTGGCCTGTTTTCATTCTCATCTATCACCCTTCACTGGTGCTCCGCCAGCGTATCCCGTTAGCGCAGGCGGGGTTACCATTCCTTTTTCACCCATAAAAAAAACCCCTCCTTATGGGAGAGGTTATGTTAAACAGTGGACAATTACCAGCTGATACAACAATCGGTAGGGGGGAAGGGATTGTTAGTGATTGGGTCAAATAGCCCCATTACTAGCAATATACCCTGTCAGATCGACCTTCACGTGGTTCCCCCTGGAAACCATCGTGGCTAATTCTAGTTGAATTCGTCAGGACGGACTAACTGACCTGCTTTCATCCTCATCAGTCATCTATCACTGGTGCACCGCCAGTGCATACCGATAGCGCAGACGGGGTTACCATACCATTATCACATATTAAAAAAAACCACAACAATCGGTAACGCAGTCTCTTTAATACAACCTTTGGTATAGAGAGAATAAAAAAACCTGGATAGTTACAAGATATAATGATTCATTTATCTTTTTATTGTAGGGAATTTTATTGCTTTTATTATTGCTTTTTTTGTTTTTTTTTTTTTATATACAACTTAGAATAGCTAGCAAGCTGACTGCCCACCTGATGGAAAGTGGTAACCGTCGCCTATAAACATGAGCAGTACCATGGACATAACAGAGTAAACTGTTTCGCCCACGATACCCCCCATGCGTTAAAATTCATTATTTTAAATTATTCAAATTATTTTCATTCTTTTATCTCTTTTACTATGTATTATGTGTACCTATGTTTGTATTGTAATTTGTGTGCTGTAAATAATGTAAATAAATTATCTATCTATCTATCTAAATATAAACATGGCCGTACAATATTCTTATGACGAATAGTGATAATCCCATTCGTGTTTCTATCATGAAGCATTTGTGTTTGCATGGCTGTGTTTCGGTTTGAAGGGTGGGATATGGCGTGAATTTACTGAGTACGGAGGAATAATACCCGAGTCCTCAGGAATGGCAACGCATAGGGGGTATCATGGGCGAAACAGTATACTCTGTTATGTCCATGGTACTGCTCGTGTCTATAGGCGACGGTTACCACTTTCCATCAGATGGGCTGTCAGCTTGTTTGCCATTCTAAAATGTATAAAAAAAAAATCTAGGATGTGATCAACATGTAACAAATTTCATGTAAATCATTCAGTCGTTTAGTTACATTTGTAACATTAGTTAGTAGTAATGTTTTACTTGTACCTTCTATGGTGTTACGGACAATAACATAATGCGCGGCACGTACTACAAGTATTCCATAACATGGCTAGTTAAATCAAACGTCATGGTCAGACACCATAATCTATTCACAATAGCGGTCAACAATGTAAGTTTCATTGTCTTTCGATCGAATCAAACAACGGATGTTGTTAAAAAAAAAACTTTTTAAATGCCTTCCAAAGGAAGAGTTTCTTAATTTGTCCGGATTTTTTTGCATAGGATTTACTCGGGAGTAAATCTGTTTCTTTTTTTATATTAATTTGACTATTGAATTGAAGCTGTCGTTTTATTTTACATATAAAAATTCTACGTATACTTATGTATAAACACACGATTATACTAAACAAAAAATAAAATTTATGACTTTTGTTTTAAAATAAAAACAGTAAGATTATTATTGTATGTATGTATATCAATAATTACTAGTACCGCATTCGAGTATTCTGACATTTCCCTATGGTTGACTGGGAGAGAATGCTTTTAGCATTAAGTCCGCCATGTACACATATTTGTACTAATAAATAAATAAATAAATTCATTTAAATTTCATATTTATTAAGATTAAAATGTTTGTTTATAATAAAATTAACTTAATAACAAAGAGAATATGTACCTGATCGTTGTAAGACATGTTAGCCATGAAAAAAATAACACGTATACACATACGCCCAACTTGACAGAAGAATTGCGACTGAATCGTGTTGCGGCCGTGTATAATGGCATAATTATGTCAGTTATGCAATAATAAACAATGCAAAGACCTTTTCATTGTGCTAGTAATTTGCGGGATTTCTGCTGCATTTCCACTTGTTGTAATATCCCGTTTTAAAGGTTTTTTTTTCATACAATTTAAAAAGGTAAACAAACTGATGGCCCATATAATGGAAAAATGTAACCGTCGCCTATGGACATGGACAGTACCATAGAAGATACTCTATGACGTTAATGGTACCACTCATGTGTTTTTTGAACACTACAATGTTGGGGGGGAAAGAGATTGTTAGTAATGGAGACTGAGAATCCCATTGCTAGCAATATACCCAACCAGGCCGACCTCCTCGTGGTTCCCCCTGGA